CTATTCTCCGTCTTACTCTTAATTCTTTCAATAATAACTCTACCATACACTTTTTGGGTTATCCTAGGTAATTTACACTATGTATGATAATTGTACTTATGTGTACCTGTGCTTAAATAAACTTGCAACTCCTACGGGAAATCTTCAGATTGTATCTACGGTTTGCATCTGCTGAATCAGTGATCCCCAGACATTTTTCATAAGTAGGCCATGTTAGATGATCAGGAAATGATGCTTGTGGATATACTTGAAAAATTACTGTCACTGACCTGCTTCACAACCATATTTACCTTTCCCTCAAAAGCTTTCACCTCAGCAGAAACCAGTTTTTCCTTACCCTGCAGTCTTACAATCAATTTATTCAATGGCTTTATATCCTAAATCCATTCTGGGTTAGAAAATGACTAATTCAGTTCTCTGTGAGAAAGACGTCAGTTACTTGGCGCAGAGCAAAAAAAAAAAAAAAGTTTGAGGCACTGACCCCCTGCTTAACCACATGACTTAAGCATTATAAAACATCCTCCAAGTCTGCACTTATCTGAGCTCTCTCTGAAGTCTACCATGGGTGTACTCTTCCCTGCCTGACTCCCATCCTTTTTCTGTACCCCCCTCCCTCACCTATCCCTTCTTCCTTGGTCTCAAATTCAAACTTTACAGTGTGTGACTGCCATGTTATAAGGAGTCTTTTTCCATGCATAATTTATAATGTTTAATTACAATATTGATTTGAAAGTGCAAAGAAAGCCACTATCATGCCGAGGCATTTCGGGCAGACTAAGATAAGATAAGATAAGATTTCGTTCGGATTTTTAACCTGGAGGGTTAGCCACCCAGGCCAACCCAAGAGAGTCAATGCATCATCGAGGACTGTCTAACTTATTTGTAATATTTTACAATTAAGAATAAAACTAAGTCTGCCCGAAATGCCTAGCCATGCTAAGCGTTCTAGTGGTACACTCTGTAATCACTATTTTACTACATGTAAACCACACAATAATCAAATTTCTGTAAACTCAGCATTGTAATCCTTATAGAGAATAAACTTTGAATTTGAATTTGAATTTGAATTTGGGGTCCTCAATCTTGTCCCCCAGGATGCGACCCACACCAGTCGACTAACACCCAGGTACCTGTTTGCTGCTAGGTGAACAGGACAACTGGTGTAATACATTACAGACTATACCTAATACTAGAGATATGTTTCCCCTTTGTCTGCCCTTTTTTTGCACCCTTGGTCTCGCCCACTTCGAGAACATCTCTGGCACTGCTGGGTTGCTGAGGATATGCTCAGTTTATTTTCAGCTTTCCTCATAGAGCCCCTGTGTACACAAAGTACAGAAAGGGAGGAGAGTGATTTCCTGTATAGTTAACATTCGTGCGCCTATTATTGTAAGCTGATTTTCCCCTATTTAGTGTTCTTGTTGATATCTCAATTCACTTTATTCCCATCATATCTCGTTTTTACTGGAATGATTTTTCAGGCAGTTGTGTTACTTAATTGTTTGACTTTTTTAAAGGTAAAATCATGGTTGATTTCCTCTATCTTTTAGCTAGGTTTTAAATAATAAGATATTACAGAGACCCCAATGGAAATGTCTCTTATTGACATTTTCAAGTTATCCTAGGTAATTTACACATGTTGCTATGTATGACAATTGCAATCACCCAAATTTGTATAATTGTACTTGTGTAAGTAAGTTGATTCAGGTATACACAAATACAGTTACATAGATTATCATACATAGTAGCATGTATGTAGAGAACCTAGGATAACTCAAAAATGTCAAAGTGGCTTATTTCCATTGTGTACCTATAGAGGAGTTTATAATCTTTGATTTTGTTCATTATTTTCTTGTATTAGACCCATTCGTATAACTATGTAGTCGTAGTTCTAGTCTAGGTTTGCCATTAATGCTGTACATGTAATTTGTAAATTCCTTTTCTTCTACTTTAGTAACAGTTAACCATTCTGCCTAAGTGCTCTCTGCCAAAGCTGTGGCAAATGTCAGTATTTTAGTGAGGGGGATGAGCCCCCAAAATTCTCTCAAATAAAAATAGTAATACATGTACGTACTTTCATATAGACGGACTTGAGTCCCGGAAATGGGAAGTACAATGCCTGCACTTTAAAGGAGGGGTTTGGGATATTGGCAGTTTGGAGGGATATGTTGTGTATCTTTATATGTGTATGCTTCTAAACTGTTGTACTCTGAGCACCTCTGCAAAAACAGTGATAATGTGCAAGTGTGGTGAAAGTGTTGAATGATGATGAAAGTATTTTCTTTTTGGGTATTTTCTTTCTTTTTTGGGTCACCCTGCCTCGGTGGGAGACGGCCGACTTGTTGAAAAAAAAAAAAAAAAAAACTTATAACTGCTTCAGAACAAGTCTCCCCGCCTCCTCTTCTAACCAGAAAGCCACTCCTAAATCCCTCGTATACAGAAACTGGCATTGCCCCTGGGTCTAGTCAAGTAGTTGTGCATTTTTTTCTTTGCCCAGTTTAGGTGTGCTGTGATGGGTATAATGATTGTTATAGTTCACTTTGATGGGTAATAAAAATGAACCAGTGTGATTTTGAGTATTAATAGCATTCAAGCTTGATGTTAAAGTAACAAAAAAAGGCACAATACCGTGACTGGAATGATGACTCCAGTCTCTTCCAACCTTTTCTTGAAGCTCTTAATAATCTTGCCCCTTCCATTAAGTTTAAAGCTGAATGGGAATCTAATTCCTTGCTTCCTTTCCTTGATGTCCATATCCACTGCTCAGATACAGGTTTTTCCTTTTCCTTTTACCGAAAACCTATTCACAGTGGCATGTACATTCACTACTTCTCCTATCATGCTTCCCCTGTCAAAAAGAGTGTTCTTATCTCCCTCTTTCTCCGTGCTCTCCACATCTGTGATCCTCAGTTCCTTCCAGCAGAAATTTCCACTCTTCATAATTCGTTTTCCCGTCTTGGCTACCCTTCCCATTTCATAGACTCTGCCTTCTCACGTGCTAAACATAATTTCTTCTCTCCCAAACTCTCTACTCCTGGGAACTCTTCTGTCCTCTGCCTTCCCTACATTTCCGGTCTTTCTAATCTCAACAATTCTCTCCGTCCCTTAGACATCAAGCTTACTTTCCGCCAGACTAACACTCTTCGCACTAATCTCGTTCATACCTCTCCTCCCTCGACAGATGTTCCTGGTGTCTACTCTGTTTCTTGTTCCTCCTGTCCTCTTCAATACTTTGGAGAAACTGGCCGATCTCTTTCTGACAGACTTAGGGAGTACAAAAATAGTGTTAGGCTTGCCGACACTAACAATGCTCTGTTTTGTCACGTCAGAGATCACAGCCATCCTATTGACTGGTCTTCGGCTAAAACTGTCCTCCCTACTTCCAACTCTAACAGTCGCCGTCTAGTTGAATCCTCTCTAATACACAACTTTCCTTGTATGAATCTTAGTCCTGGCTTCGTCTCTGTAGATGCCTTCCTCTCCCACTACATTGTAAAATGCTCCAAACTTCAGAACACCCATGACTTAACCTGATTCCTTATTTTTTCTTCTTCTCCCTTTTCCCCTTTCCTCTTTCCTTTTTTGTCTTTCTTTCTTCTGTCGCATGTTTCTGTTCTTTCATTATTTATTTCATCACTTCCCCTTCCCCCCACCTCTGTGCACTTGCTCTCCCTCTGTGGGCACCTAGCTCCCTTGCAGTGCTCCCCTTTCTTTGTATTTGACTGGCTCCTCCTCCTTAATTCCCCACTACTACTTACTACCACCACCACCACCACCACCACTACCTCTTCCTGCCTATATATAGCCGTCCTGCTATATATAGGCAGGACGAACGATAGTACAGGTAAGATCCCATTTGGGATCTAGTACAGGTAAGATCCCATTTGGGATCTAGTACAGGTAAGATCCCATTTGGGATCTTACCTATACTATCATTCGTTCGTTCGTACTTCTGGTTAGTGTGACTTTGTAAATGGTCCAAGTCGGACCGAAACACCGTTGTAACCTCCTCTCTTCTATGTGCGGGTTATTTGTGTATTGATGTTAAAGTCTTATTAGATAAGATTTTGTTCGGATTTTTGACCCCGAAGGGTTATCCACCCAGAATAACCCAAGAAAGGCAGTATGTCATCGAGGGACTGGAGTTTACCTGGAGAGAGTTCCGGGGGTCAACGTCCCCATGGCCCAGTCTGTGACCAGGCCTCCTGGTGGATCAGAGCCTGATCAACCAGGCTGTTACTGCTGGCTGCACGCAAACCAACGTACGAGCCACAGCCCGGCTGGTCAGGAACCGACTTTAGGTGCTTGTCCAGTGCCAGCTTGAAGACTGCCAGGGGTCTGTTGGTAATCCCCCTTATGTATGCTGGGAGGCAGTTGAACAGTCTCGGGCCCCTGACACTTATTGTATGGTCTCTTAACGTGCTAGTGACACCCCTGCTTTTAATTGGGGGGATGTTGCATCGTCTGCCAAGTCTTTTGCTTTCGTCTGTTTTATTTCCATTGGGGTCCTCAATCTTGTCCCCCAGGATGCAACCCATACCAGTTGACTAATACCCAGGTACCTACTTACTTGCAAGGTGAATGGGGACAATAGATTCAAGGAAACACGTCCAGTGTTTCCACGATTGCCAGGGATCAAACCATAGACACTCTTGTGTGGGAGGCGAGAGCGTTGCCTACCAGGCCACAGGACACCCTACAAGGAAGACCTTATAGAATGGCAGGTCAAATAGACAGAAAAGTTTTCATGCTAGCCAAGGAGAATATTAAAGCCTTTTTGTTGAAACAACCCACCATGGAGAAAATTATTGGGAAATGTGATCAGATATCTGTTGAAATAAAATAATTAGAGATGGTAAAGGCATTGAAAAACTAATGAGTGGTGCCTCAGTGGACACAAATTTTCAATGTAAGCTTAAATTTATTTTTTGTTCGTGTATGAGGTGATTGATGACATAGACTATGAGGATCATATTGCTAATAAGTTTTGCCTATTTCAGTCCAATTTCAGTATGGGTCGCCTGCCTCACAATTGTCGCAAGACTTACATGTTGGACTTCGGACTCGCTCGCCAGTATACTAATGCCAATGGTGAAGTACGAACTCCTAGAGCAGCAGCAGGTTTCAGAGGTGGGTGAAACCTATATGATATATGATGTACATATTATATAAATATATATATATATACTTTTTTTTCATTGAACCAGCCGTATCCTACCGAGGCAGGGTGACCTTGAAAGGTCACTCGCATGGCTTACGGAGGAAGAATTCTTTTCCACTTCCCTATGGAGATAAGAGGAACCAAGGAAGAACAAGAACTATTAAGAAAATAGAAGAAAACCCAGATGGGTATGTAACTTCTCCTGTATAAATTACTAATTTTAAAAAGAAAAACTTGTATTTTAGGTCACCTTGCGTCGGTGGGATATGGCTGGTTCGTTAAAAAAAAAAGTGTGTGCTATAAAATCTCACTAAACAGGTGATATCACAATACATATGCGGAACAGCCGCCCTAGAAAACAATAGTGCTTCTGTGATTTCTCACATTATCAAGGAACTGTAAAAATAAAAGATAGTGGAAGATATATAAGGGCAAGATTACACCAAGTGGTCAAAGTACAGCACCTCACCTGTCTCTTATCATGCAGGTGAGATGGTTAAGGACCTGTCAAATATAGCTTATATTCTACACAAATTTTATGATTTTTAACAAAAGTGCATGGAAGTTCAGTTTTTTTAACAGTGGTTGTTCTGCACATATATATACAGTAGTGTATATATATATATATATATATATATATATATATATATATAAATATATATATATATATATATATATATATATATATATATATATATATATATATATATATATATGTCGTGCCGAATAGGCAGAACTTGCCATCTTGGCTTAAATAGCAACGCTCATCTTGCCATATAGGACAAGTGAAAATTTGTGTATGCAATAATTTCGCTAAAATCATTCTGAGCCTAACGAAAAAAATATGTTTGAGTGTGTTTGTTTAGTACTAAATTATTGTAAACGAATTTAAAATATATTTAGTTGGGTTAGTCTATAATAAATTGTTCTTGTTATAATAAGGTTAGGTAAGTTTTCTAAGATTCTTTTGGTGCAAAATTAAATTTTTTTACATTAACATTAATGGAAAAAATATATCTTTAAACGTATAAGAGAAAATTTCAGAAAGGACTTAATTTTAAATGAGTTCTTGCTAATTGACCAGTTTTACATATTCGGCACGACATATATATATATATATATATATATATATATATATATATATATATATAATATATATATATATATATATATATATATATATATATATATATATATATATATATATATATATATATATATATATATATATATATATATATATATAAATATATATATAGTTAATAAAAGTATTAGTCAGAGGGCAGAAGAGGGGTTGTTGAGGTGGTTTGGTCATTTAGAGAGAATGGATCAAAGTAGAATGACATGGAAAGCATATAAATCTATAGGGGAAGGAAGGCGGGGTAGGGGTCGTCCTCGAAAGGGTTGGAGAGAGGGGGTAAAGGAGGTTTTGTGGGTAAGGGGCTTGGACTTCCAGCAAGCGTGCGTGAGCGTGTTAGATAGGAGTGAATGGAACGAATGGTACTTGGGACCTGACGATCTGTTGGAGTGTGAGCAGGGTAATATTTAGTGAAGGGATTCAGGGAAACCGGTTATTTTCATATAGTCGGACTTGAGTCCTGGAAATGGGAAGTACAATGCCTGCACTTTAAAGGAGGGGTTTGGGATATTGGCAGTTTGGAAGGATATGTTGTGTATCTTTATATGTGTATGCTTCTAGACTGTTGTATTCTGAGCACCTCTGCAAAAACAGTGATAATGTGCAAGTGTGGTGAAAGTGTTGAATGATGATGAAAGTATTTTCTTTTTGGGGATTTTCTTTCTTTTTTGGGTCACCCTGCCTCGGTGGGAGACGGCCGACTTGTTGGAAAAAAAAAAAAAAAAAAAAAAAAAAATATATATATATATATATATATATATATATATATATATATTTTATATATATATATATATATATATATATATATATATTATATATATATATATATATATATATATATATATATATATATACATATATACATATATACATATATATATATATATATATATATATATATATATATATATATATATATATATATATATATATATATATGTACTCATATATATGTGTGTATACATTTATGTATATAAAAGCAAACACACATACATATATGCATTTTAATAATAACTTTCCTTATCAGGTACTGTACGTTATGCCTCCTTGAATGCTCACAAGAATAAAGAGATGGGACGTCATGATGACCTATGGTCGCTGTTTTATATGGTTGTTGAGTTTGTTAATGGTCAGCTGCCTTGGAGAAAAATAAAAGATAAGGAACAGGTATGTCTCTCTTATTTATAACCTAACCTAAACTTACCTGCACATAATATGGTACTTACAGCTCTCGAGATATGATGCTATGTCTTGATAGTGATCAAAATATTTTTTTTCTGTCAAAAGACTTTACATGGGGAAGTTCTATAATAGAATTTTCCCTGCAGGTTGGTCTGATGAAGGAAAAGTATGACCATCGATTGCTCATAAAACACTTGCCTTCTGACTTCAAGCAGTTTCTAGAACACATCCAAAACTTAGATTATCATGATAAGCCAGACTATGCTGTGAGTGTTGCCAAGCATTTGTAATCATTCATAAATAACCTACATATAGGGGAGTAAGAAAATCATGACAACATTACAGCCCGACTTAGACTGACTTCAGTCTGAGTCAGGCCAAAATGTCATAAGTTTTTTCTCCTATATATAGGTTATTTGTGTATTGTTCCAGTCATGGTATTGTACCTTTTTATTCTGTTTGTAATCATGCATGAAATGTTTTTGTTATAATATTTCAGAATTATTGCATTAATATTTATTTACATGAGAAATATAATTAATTTTTTAAATTTTTTTCTAGATGTTATCAGGATTATTTGAGCGCTGCATGAAGCGACGGGGAATTAAGGAATCGGACCCATTTGACTGGGAGAAAACACCCACTGACAATTCATTAGGCACTACCACTACTACGACCCATGCTGTTATTACCAAACCACAGCATGCAGACAGGTTTGATTTGTTTTTACAAATCAAATAAATATATAATAATTCTCATTATTATATATTTATAGATTTCAGTGCTGTTGTACTATACAGTATTTCACTGATGAATATTGACATGCCAAATTAAATTTTCATTATTCCTGTTATTATCATTGAAATAATTGTAACAAAAAAAAAATACATGTAAATAACCTAAGTACAGTAGCAAAACCAGGGAGTAAAGTTGGCATCACATGACTGCAAGATCTTTTGTCTGTTTTTGTATTTATCTTCTACTTCTGCTCCTAATTGCTAGTGTCTTCATATTTTTAATTTCTTCCACTTTCTTTAACAACATTATTTTTTGTACTAGATATACTTACACTATTTATTGTCTTTGACATATTGATACTTTTTCTTGGAACAGCCGATTGGTTTACGGTGGAGGCGGCATGACCGATAACATGCTTGATGACAATGTACTGGGCTCTGTGGACAACCAGGAAAATGTTGAGGCACCTCATGATCGTGAGCACGACCCTCGAAGACGGCGACGACGAGACACTGTCTTACACCCACCACAACCTAACATCAATCAGGTGCGTCAACTATATTCCTAATGCTTCATTCTGATGATATTTTCATCTAATGGCTGTCTTCATCATGGTACAAATGTTTTACTCAAATATTTAAATCATTGTGATTTACTACAGTATTTTGTATTAAAAATAGAGCTCAGATTTGTTAAGAGTGAGACCACAAAGGTATGTGATTGATTCTAAATTAATATATTAAATCATGTTGCCAGAAGACACTCTGCAGGCAGTAAGTGATGTTGGGATATGAAACTGAGAGGGGCTGGTGGGGTAGCTGGACCACAGTAGCATAGAACCCACTGCTTATATCTCTCTGCTGTCCCAACTTCCCATTCCTCAATTCATGTAACTCGTATTAGTCTGGTGAGCCCATAGACCACATTGTGGTGTCCTGGGTCCTGCGTCTTAGGTTCATGTCTGTCTCAGTATCATTGTCTGGTTATTCTGTATCTCTCAAGTAGTGAAAGTAGAATGATTGCTAGCATCAATTACTTCAATGAGCACGTCTCTGCCCCCATTAGTTAGTACATTTGGCAAATACACCCTGCACTAGTAATATATATCACTGGTAGACAAGCTGCACCATTCAGATTAAGCAAAGCCAGTCCCAGCATTCAGTTGGTTATTGTGAATTTGGCGTCTTCAGCAACAGGTGGAGACTAAGGAGCGGGTCCTGAACGATAACAACGTCAATGCCAACATCATCGCGAACACTGAGAAGGACACCAACGAGGTGGAGATGTCACCCAAGAAGAGAAAGGTACAGCCTGCTCTCCCTCAGTCTGGTCAGGGTGTCTTTGCTGTGGTTAGCTTTATCTCTGCTACTGTAGTCAATCCTACAGCAGTGTAGTCTGTATCTGCCTTGTTCACTTTCTCTTGTTCTGTCTCTTGTCTTCTGTGGCTCTCATTAATGTGTTTTGGAATGATGCTAACATTCTAATGTAGAAGCTTATTGTAAGTAGTCAGTTGTGTTTTATTATAGTGATTGAATCTCTGGATTAATACTATCAGATGCCTCCCCACCAACCCCCTCTGTATTAAGTATGTAACCTGTATCTTTACCCTCAGCCCTGAATAGCCTCCTTCATATTAAGCTAAAGAAGTGTAGAGTGAAGCTCATAACTGTAAAGCCACATATGCTGGAACCTAAACAAACATGGCTGTAAAGTACTCCTTATAGAGCCATAACTGTTGCATTATGCAGCTGTCAGTGGTTTTATAAGCAAGTATTGCTTATTATTATATATAGTATATTGATCATGATGAAAGATGAGCCAATATTTGTAATTAAATCTCATATCAGAATAGCTGTTTTATACATTTTTTTGAACTTTCTTTACTGATTAATATTTTTGGTAATTATCCATGTGTTTTAACTTGAAAGTCAGTTTTACAATATATACAGTCACTTAAAATTGACAATTTACATTGAACATCACTTAAGAATCAGTATTAATATACGGCACATAAAGTATTTTATGTTTTGATGGACCACTGATGTTGAGGGCAAGAACTGAAGAATAAGCACTTACAATGCAAAGTAAATCAGGTTAAAATGGAAGAGTGAGTGAACACACTCTTAAAGGACCAGAATATTATCATCCATTACTGTAGCAAGTATTATTACTTATTTTCAGCCATGTGGACCATCAAGCATTATTTGCAGGAAGCATTGAACTAGGTTCTGTCTTTACTAACATTCCTTTGCTAGTGTTACATATATGTTAATCACTCTAACATGTCTCTTAGACTAGCATTAGTATTACCTTATCCTGTAGTATCAAAAGAACAATGTTACCTTCAAATATTACTGTTTAGATAATCCTAGATAATTTTTAGTTAATTGGCAAAGAGATTGTTTGCTGTTGATTTTGAAATTTGTTTCTCAGAGCAGTACAGGATGAAGAAACCCAACAAGTATTGTGCTGCAACTGCATAAAGCAGCTTATTTGTAACATAATTGCTTTCTTTCTTATAACAGTACTGTAATGGTCTGCACTCATTTGGCTGGAGTCTCTTAACCAGCAACCTGTAACACCTGCAAAGCACTGCACATCTTTCTTGTTACAGTGACCTTACTAGTGACAGTGACCTTCATGGTTACTGTGTCACACAGTACTCTGTGCCACAAAACTTATTTTGTACCAAATGTAATACCTTGAACCATACTTAGTTTCTTATACAGTGTGCATCACACTCCACCGCACTCAGTAGTTTTTCACAATATTGTACCATGTACCACCTGCACCACATTGTGCTCTATTATGAAGTTTTTTAGCAAAGCCATTCAGTGCCTTTTGCCTTACACAGGACCTTGTATTATATCCACCGCCATGAGTCACACCCAGGATGTAGCATCAAACTTCGTTTATAATTGCAATATTAGTATAGTGCTGTATATATAGTTTCAAAGGCAATACTATATATTGTACCACATCAGTTTTATGTGATTAGGAATAAAACTGTAGGACGCCTAAAATATTGCCACTCTTAGTGCTTTATATCACTCTCAGCTTATACTAGTATAAATAGCATTGTGCATCAAAGTTGATGTATATTGCCACATTCATCACTGCATTCCATAATTTTATAGTTCTACACCAGGAAAACTAAGCACAAGTTTCTTATACTTTTACACGACATTTTTGTCTATAGCACATGCTTCTCTCTGCTGCATCCAAGGCAATGTACAGTACTAACTGCAGTATTGTCCTACATCCAGCTCCTAATATGATTTCAAGGAAACTCTCATGCTGGGGATGACACATTCTTGAAAATTGGCGACTTATGGAAAATAACTGTGTGAGAAGTTAAGAAAATGTGGGGGAAAAAGGCTTATGTTCAAGAGACCTACAAATTTGTCAAAAAACTTTTTTTTTTTTTTTTAAATATTGTTATTATAGGTAGTATACAGATTAATACAGTTTAATGTGTCTTAAATTCTTCTTGTTGCTATTGACCTGGAAGTGTGTGAAGAGGGTTGATGTTTTCCTACTAGGATCTGGTTTTTGTGTTGATGTGGCTGCAAAGTTGTCAGTAACTGATGGCTGTACTGGAGTGATCGGATATTCTGTCATGCATCTCCGGTCTGTTTTAACCTGTATAATTAACCTCGTTGGATTTCTTTTCACCTTGAAGTGCTCATTAACAAAGTAATATGAACAGCATAGGCTGAGTGCTCAAGCTTAAGAAAGACATGCAAAAACTTGGAATTATGTTCAGAACATGTTACCTCATAATTATGTGGCCCATTCATGGGCATGCAGCACCTGTATAGAACCCTCACCAAAATAGTCAAATACAGAAAAATCCAAGGTAATGTGTGTGAAGTCTTCATGAAAATTATACAGCATAGTTTAGCCAGGATTAATTGAGGATTATACAATAGCTTGCATCCTTTTTCAAGGAGGCAGGGTACTTTTAACTAAGGCCTTCAGTCCGAGGCTAGGCAGTGCCATCTTCCAAAAGCATGGGTACCATGAGTACACTAAGAGACTAACACAATAAGTGTCAGGGGCCCAAGAATGTTCAACCTCCTCCCAGTATACATAAGGGGGATTACTAATAGACTCCTGGCTGTCTTCAAGGAGTTGGACATGGACAAGCACCTAAAGTCAGTACCTGACCAGCCTGGCTGTGGTTTGTACATCAGTTTACATGTGGCCAGCAGTAACAGCCTGGTTGATCAGGCCCTGATCCACCATGAGGCCTGGTCATGGACTAGGCCGCTGAAACGACCCCCAAAACCCCCCTCCAGGTATACTCCAGGTAGTGCCTGTGCCTAAGTTTATGGTGTAAAGCTAATGGAGAATGAATGTGAGCAGACTTTATTATGACATACAGAATACTTTGACACACAGACAGGGGTAGACAAGAAAGACTTACTTTACCAAGGAAGAATTAAGAACACGAGGGTATGGTTAGAGATTATTCATCCAAGTGATCAGTAATTATATCTAAACTGTTCCAGCCATTGTATTGTGACTTATTATTCTTTAAGGTTATCTGAGAATGTTTCTTTTGCATAAGGGTAGTAAAGAATTGGAAAAATGAAGTGGCAAATAGTGTATCAGGTATATCTGTAGGGACAAACTGTGGACATAGACATGCATGCAACACTTAGGACGTTTTATCAGGAGACATTTTACTAACAGGTTTTTTTTTATCAATCCAATACAATACATGAAGAAAACACAAAAGTTCAGGCAAATTAGGTGGTGTTAGGCCCATAAGGTAATGGGCCAGTGTGTAAGTCATTAGTTTATTGAGAGTATGGTGGGTAGAATGAGTTTAGTATGGACACTTGATAGGCTAAAAATTTCCAGAGTTCCATCCTACTGTGTCAGATACTGCAATTAGGGCTACCTCCTGACACTGTCACTTGTGCAAAGTCTTCTTTAAAACCAATATGGTTTCTTCCTGTTTCTTCAGGTACCTTTGTGTATTACGATATATCACATAAGTGTTATTTAAGGTGTGTCTTCTACACACGTACTTATGTTCTCTCACATGTGGGTTTAGACGTATGGCCATCTCGCCCACTTATTCCCTGCCTGAAATGATGTACTTTACAAAGCTGCACTAGTTACCATCATCTTGGCTGATAGCTATATTCATTTTGTGATTCAAGGGTGCCTTAGCAATGTTGGCTGCATCCCCAACTAGAAACATGACATACAGTATCTGGTTGGTGACCATTCTCAGGTAAATGTGGTAATGATGTAGTGGGCAGGTGTCCCACAGTCAGAGATGAAGTGTGGATGAAACTAAAGACATGTCAATACCTGGAAAATTTGTTTACATTCCTTTAAGAGATGACTTGTTTGATGACAAGTTGTCTCTTAGTCTTTGTGCTGTGGTGTGATTAGAAGTGAAGCAAGTCACCCTTGCTTCACTTAGAAGGCCATTTTTATTTCTACCTGTGTCTTGGAAGATGTCCAAGAATGGTAGTTCACTGTATTTCTCTTCTGGTATCAATTAAATAGATGGTCCCATGTTGTTAATTTTAGATAGCTCTGTGTTGATGTTAAGTTTTCTGATTACCAAAATGTCGTCCATGTAACATAATTATGTTATGTTGTTGGGAATAAGTTTGATGTATTTTGTTTCTTCATGTTCCACACATATAAGTTAACTAAAATGGTATTGATGGGTGAGCCCATAGCCATCCTAAAGCACCATATGTACTTGTTTTCTCCCAGATTGAAGCAACTGTAATTAATAATAATCTTTATTTATGCAAGTACATGATACAACTGATGCAAACCTAGCCACCATCACTGGCATACTATATAGAAAGCCCCTGGTTATGCAGAGCATTTCAGGCTACTTATGTTAATCTTATCCCCAAGATGCAAGGCACAACAGTTGGCTAGCACCCAGGTACTTACTTAGTGCTAGGTGAAGAGGGGCAGCGGGTGCAAAGAAACATGCCCAACGTTTCACTCATGTCAGGGATCAATCCTGGACCCCTCAGTCTTTGAGCTGAGGATGCTACCAACCAAGCCACGAACACATCTCAGTGAGGCTGACAAAGTCTTTACTCAGAACCAGGAGGCATGCATCATTCCCAACATTTTTTATGTAAACAAACAACTTTATTTCTGTAAAATAGAGTACAGTATACAAATGACATTTGAGTAATTGACACCTACAAACTACTTTATAGAAATCCCCTTAAAATTAATTTATAATTTCTAGACAGTACAACAAATATAGTAGTTTATTACAGTGTTATTCTTTATCATATTTGACATTTAAATACTATAACAATTTGGAATATGAATTATGATATTTTGAGATTAATACATTTTGAAAGAGATCAATGATATTGTGAACATGAGTATGAATGCTGATATGATTTGAATTAACAGGGTAGCTAATACATCAGAAGTGAGACTGCTTATATAGTACGTACAGGAGGGCCTTGCTTTTCAGCATTTTGCTTTATGGCATTTCACTAATGCAGCATTTTTCAGTTATACCTATTTTTCATTTATTCAGACTTCCTACAGTTTAAATATATTCACCACTTACTGTAAGCTAAGGACGAAGATATTTTTAGGGAGGTAATGTGTGTACTGTATATGCATTTTTTAGGCCTAGCTCTGTTCCTCACTCAATATATGATAGTGTAAACATGTCAGGCTTTTATATGCATTTGAAAGTGATTTTCACTTTACAGCAGTAGCCCAGAACCTAACCTGCTGCATAATCGGGGCCTCCTGTACATTGGTAAAGGAGGCAGTAACATCAAAACTTGCTAGCTTCTTGTCTCTTGTGCTGACATCTTAATCTGGTTTATAAGATCTCTGAACTGTCTTGAGATGTGATTGGCTGATAGTTGCTAGTAGCTTGGGGATGCTGATGAATAAAACTGATTTTAATACTGTAAACATTTGGAAAGTTGCTATTATAAAAGTTACCTAACATAGTAAAATTTATTGTAATGAACACTTAGGAAAAATTGGTATTAATATAAAATCACTTAGGATAGTCAAATAATTCTAATAAACAATCCAGGAAATTAGTATAAAGGCACTAACAGTAATAAAAATAATTCTAATAAGCAAGACACTCTAACAGCCTTAGAAATGCCATGAGAGGCCAACAACACAAAATTATGCTGATATGTGTAATGTGGTAAAATTAGGAGTGGGAAAACAGTAACACTTCTATATAAATATCCTGCAGTGATAATTGTAAAATTGGAGGTTATACAAAATTTATTTTTGAGTAAATATTTTGTCTTTTTTTTTTTTTTTTTTTTTTTTTTTTTTTTTTTTATTTTTTTTTTTTTTTTTTTTTTTTTTTTTTGCTTGCATTGCTTTGGTAGCATGTGTTGTGGCTTCACTTGTTATACAATATGTGAATTTTTTTATAAGTTGTTACAGTGAGGATTGTAACTTGATACTCTAACATATGATATACAGGATGAAAACATACCCACTGTATTCTTTGCAAAAAAAAAAAAAAGCCATTCAAAGCCACTGTGACATGTTTAATTGTGGACAGGTTTTAGTTAAGTGAAATTGTTCTTGAATATGCTAAGTGAAATTACACCAAGTGAACTATAATTAGGTGGAGTATTTTTTTTTTTTTTTTCAACAAGTCGGCCGTCTCCCACCGAGGCAGGGTGACCCAAAAAAGAAAGAAAATCCCCAAAAAGAAAATACTTTCATCATCATTCAACACTTTCACCACACTCACACATTATCACTGCTTTTGCAGAGGTGCTCAGAATACAACAGCTTAGAAGCATATACGTATAAAGATACACAACATACCCCTCCAAACTGCGGAGTATACTATACAAAAAAAAATCCAAATGATTATATAATCTTGTTAGAAGACTTAAATGCACATATTATTCAAATACTTTAGTGATACATGAATAACAAAATTTAATGTTAATAGTGAATACTGTAATGAAAAAGTGTGAAAATTAACTCCATGAAAAATGTAGATCATATAATAAGTTCTCTAATTAAATCATTAGATAAAGAGAGAGCTCTGAAAGTGCTGTACCAGGAAACCATAGACTGCAGTTGTGTGAGAGATTTATGCTATACAGTACAGTAAATAAGTAAGACTTGCTTGTCATGGATTCAATTACCACTTATTTTTTTATTTGATAGGTAGAAAAATTTTTAATTAGATTTCGTGTACATCTTTCTTTCAACACACCGGCCGTATCCCACCGAGGTGGGGTGGCCCAAAAGGAAAAACGAAAGTTTCTCCTTTTACATTTAGTAATATATACAGGAGAAGGGGTTACTAGCCCCTTGCTCTTGGCATTTTAGTTCCACTTCCCCATGGAGGTAAGAGGAAATAAACAAGAACAAGAACTAGTAAGAAAATAGAAGAAAACCCAGAGGGGTGTGTATATAAATGCTTGTACATGTATGTGTAGTGTGACCTAAGTGTAAGTAGAAGTAGCAATACGTACCTGAAACCTTGCATGTTTATGAGACAGAAAAATGGACACCAGCAATCCTACCATCATGTAAAACAATTACAGGCTTTCGTTTTACACTCACTTGGCAGGACACTAGTACCTTCCTGGGCGGTTGCTGTCTACCAACCTACTACCTAGATTCGTGTACATAGCATACAAATATTTTTTTTTTACAATGATCTCAAGAGCATACAGGTATTATACACATAAGATTAACACTGTTTATTGAACCTAGGATAACCCAATAAAGTCAGACATGACTTATTTCCATCTGGTCCCTGTATTGGTAAACTTCAAAATAACTTTCAAATAATATACATATGGTAATATGCTAAAAATGTTATTCACAATTTACATAGAGCTAAAATTGGATTACACAGCTATTCAATGCTGTCTTCACAAAAAGTTGGTAAAATAGAAAAGTTTAATGGCATGTAAAAAAAGATTAATTTCACAGTTAAGTAATATGAATTACTGCACAGAAACTGTTTCAGGTTACAGGAGATACCCATGCTGGTAATCAGGAAAAAAAAAAAGGATAAGAAAGTGTTGCAAGGTACACTAAAAAGTATTTCACAAAATGAATTGTAGATAGATGGAATTATATTCAAGAGGAAGTAATGGATCTTGCAGCTACTGTACTGTACTGGAAACGTGTAATATTTATATGGTTACATGGCAAACCAAATGTTGAAGAAGGATGTTAAGAGCATTGCTCAAATAACTATGAATAGGTAATAACATACTCATACAAATATATGTAACTCTTATCGTCATTCATCTCACTTCATTTTAGCCCTGATCGTCACCTACCATATTTCAGTTTTTCTTATATCATCCAGTTTGCCTTTTGACTGTAAGTACTTAAGGTGATTTCATACTTCCTCTGTCACAGGTAGAGGAGTTCAACTGTGAAAAGGAAGGGGAAGGTGTTGGAGAGAAGGAAAAGGAGGGAAGACTTGAATGCTCCACTGACTGGGATGGTGATGCAGTCATGGCATCAAGACAGGGACATACCACACCCAGGTACGTTACTCCACCTAGACAGACACTTTGTTGAATGCACTCCTTCACACTCTCTCTATCATCTTACTCAGCTGGTGACAGATCTCAGGGATTCTCTGGACCAACATTCATCCCATTGTAATAAAATGAGGCAAATATATCTTATGTACATGCTCAAAAGGATCAGACATCATTGCTCTGAGCAAAATGTGGCCAAACATGATAAATTATCAGTTATTGATGAGGCCTTCTCTATTTAGATCCTGTACAATATTTTCATTAGAGATCATATTCATAAAAAAGGTGATGGAGTTATCTGATAAAGTAGGTTCTTTCCTACAGTACTTGAAATTCAGATAATAAAATTTTAAATTGCCTCATCCCTGATTGTTAGATATATCCAAATAGGAGCAAAAAATTTCAAATTTAATTTGGAAGTGCTCTTTTTCTCATGTGAATGAAATCTTCTCATATTTGTCCTCAGTCTCAAAATAATTTGTATTACATAACATTGGTAGGCACTCAGTACATGTGATAGTGAAACATTGTGAAAGCATCCCATAACAGTACAATGGCTATATCTCATTAAATATGTCTGTAATGACATCATTACTAAATTTAGTATGAAAGTTGTAAAATGAAAAGCTGTCGGAGGTCTGGAAAATTCATTAAGAATATTTTTTACAAATTTCTGTGGCTGATTGGGATTTTGACTTTGAGCTACTAGGTTCAGCTAGAGGAGCACAACCTATTCTTACATTTAAGAGAGAGCACTAAACCCATAGGGGATATATAGCTCCTGGGGAAATCGTAGGCATTCAGCTAAGCTTGTCATGGTCCATCTTTAGTATTTAATTTATCATTTATTTTTTTAAGTTTCCAGGGATTGTAGCACTTAATAACATTTTTTATCACTGTTTATGAGAAGCATTATAGTATCCTTTTGGTACCTCTTCTTTCTTTGTTTATAGTAGTAGCATCTTGTTATTCTTCATGATGTATAACTTCTTTGTATCTTTTTATAATCTTATATGTGGTTGTGATGTCTTCTCTTTTGCATTTTTGATGTTTTTGGCTTTTCTTCATAACTCATGTGCAGTATTTTAACTCTGTATTTTATTAATGCACTTTTTGGTGATAATCTTCTGTCAGTGATTACATGGATCCCTCTCTTTATCTCATGGTTTTAATATTCTTCCACAAAATTTATATTCTTCATTTCTGTTACATGGCACCTTTTCATATTAAATTCCATCATATCACCACCACCACCAACCTACTCACTACCACCTGGTCATGGTCTGGACTAGATTACAAAAAAAGGAATTGAAAATAGGTACCTTGTTTTGAAATTAAACATTTATTTTTAATTGCCTAAAATTCTTTTAATTCATTTTATAAATATACGTAATGGCCCCGGGGAAAAATTTTTCTTAGTAGTAGTTCAGGTGATTTATGACAATTTTTTCCCCCATAAAGGTATTTTGAAGTGGGGAAGTTTTCCCCCCAAAAATAAGTAACAGCACTTAATAAATACACTTATATTTTTGAATTGGGATATTTTTAACTTCCACTGTACTGTATTGAGATTCGGGTAAATTCACCCGTATTTACTTTTTTCTTGAAAATTCTGGAGAGTCCCCTTTGGGACTTTTAAGGGGGGGGAGGGTGACAACAAGAACAGAAAGCCCCTAGCATTTTAAGGTTATTTTGAAAAACAGCAGCTATGAGTAGAATGAATTTGAACCTCCGCAAGAGAGAGGATCAGGTAAGGAAATGGCCCTTTTTTTTTTTTTTTTTTTGTATTGACATAACCCCTTTAGATTATGTTAATTTTTTGCTTTTTATCAAATGTTTTAATTAATGTTAAATCGTTTAAAGATTATAATATATTTGGTAGAGTTAGGTAAAAAAAATTAATTAAGTTGGTTTTTTTTGGTGAAATCTCAAATTTGGATTGATGAAAATTTTAATTTTTTTAACATTTTTAAAAAAAATGTATTTTTTAAAGTCATAAAAAAACTTTTCATTTATTTAAACCCAATTTGGCTTTTAGGGATGGACTTGACAGGGGGCCCTTGAGTTTGATAAATTTTAGTTTCAATATACCCTCTAAAGGAATTTAGTTTTGAGTTTCAGTAAAATTTTTTTAGATTGTTTAAAAATGATAGTGCACGGTGGTGGGCCTCACCCAAACAAGCGGGGTGAGTGGGGGGGATGGTGGGTGGGGTGGAAGGGAGGAAGGAGGCATGGGGGGGAGAGGGGCTGCAACAAGGGTGTAAATTTTAAAATGATAAACCTACAACCCTTTAAAAATCTCTCCCGTCCTCCCTTCCCCCTGCCTGCCCTACTGCTTTCCCCACCCCCCTCCCTGCCCCCTGCCATTGCCTTTCCCATGCCATCCCTGCCATGCCATCCCCATGCCGCCTTGCCCCCTGCCCTGCCCGCCCTGCCGCCTCCTCCTCCCTTCCCCGCCTTCCTCCCTACCTTGCCCAACCCTGTCCTCTTGCCCTTGCCCTGTCTGCTTGCCCTGCCCCCCTTGCTTTGCCACCCTGGCCTCCCTGCCCTTTCCCCACACACCCAATTCTTTAAGTCTAAAAACGTAAAAGTTCATTCTGGGGTTGAAAAAATTCCATAGCCCCATGTATATGGGGTTTAGTTAGATAGTTTTTGGGAAATAAAGGGGGTTTGGGTCGGGTTTTTTAAAAATAGGTTAAGCTAAAAAAGGGGAGTAGCATAATGTTAAAGGGTAAGCTTGGCGGGAAAAGAGGGACTACAAATGTATAAACTAAAGGGATTAGTGGGAAAAATAAAGATTGGTTGAAAAGGGGTTATGAAAGCGGATGCCCTGGAGAAGGGGAAAAGGGGTTTAGAGGAAGAGGAGATTTGGGAAATTTTGATGAATGTGGGGGGATTTTTGAATAAAGGGTTGAGGAAAAGGGGGTTTGGGGGGATTTAAATGCTAAAGGGGTAAAAATGTTTAGAGGGAGTAGTAGGAAAAAGGGGGCCCGGGGAAATGTAAATGGGGAGCCTTTAATTGAGTTTGTTAGAAAAAATTTGGTAATAAGTAATAATATTTTTGAAAAAGGGATAATAAATATAAAAGGGTATGTTTAGCACGTAAAAAGTGTTTTTAGATTATGTTTTTGGGGAAAAAAAGGTTGAGGGTAAGTCCAGGATGAAAATTTGTTTATGGGGGCAACGATATTCGGATTTTTATTTAGTTGTAGAAAGTTAAGTAAGGGTGGGGAAAAGGGGAAGGTGGCAACAACAAAAAAAGGGGGAGGTGAAAGTGTTAAACTAAGGGAGGGGGAAAATTTGGGGCGAGATTAAAGATTTTGGGCGAAGGTGGGTAGTGCAAAGTGGTGGGGGGGGATTGAAGAGGTTGGGAATAGTTTTAAAAATGCAGTATTAGAATGTGGGGCGAAGTTTGTGGTTTTGGAGGGTGGGGCAGGAGGAAAGAGGATGATTGGGGGAAGATGAAGAAAAAGGGGGTGATAAAAGAGAAAAAGGTAGCTTACGAGAGGTTTTTACAAAGCAGAAGTGTTATAAAAAGGCAGAGTATATGGAGAGTAAAAGAAAGGTTGAAGAGAGTGGTGAGAGAGTGCAAAAGGAGAGCAGATGAAAGAGTGGGAGAGGCACTGTCAAGAAATTTTAATGAAAATAAGAAAAAATTTTGGAGTGAGTTAAACAAGTTAAGAAAGCCTAGGGAAAGTATGGATTTGTCAGTTAAAAACAGAGTAGGGGAGTTAGTAGATGGGAGAGGGAGGTATTAGGTAGATGGCGAGAATATTTTGAGGAACTTTTAAATGTTAAGGAAGAAAGGGAGGCGGTAATTTCATGCACTGGCCAGGGAGGTATACCATCTTTTAGGAGTGAAGAAGAGCAGAATGTAAGTGTGGTGGAGGTACGTGAGGCATTACGTAGAATGAAAGGGGGTAAAGCACTGGAACTGATGGATCATGACAGAAATGTTAAAAGCAGGGGGGATATAGTGTTGGAGTGGTTGGTACTTTTGTTTAATAAATGTATGAAAGAGGGGAAGGTACCTAGAGATTGGGCAGAGAGCATGTATAGTCCCTTTATATAAAGGGAAAGGGGACAAAAGAGATTGTAAAAATTATAGAGGAATAAGTTTACTGAGTATACCAGGAAAAGTATACGGTAGGGTTATAATTGAAAGAATTAGAGGTAAGACAGAATGAAGGATTGCGGATGAGCAGGGAGGCTTCAGAGTGGGTAGGGGATGTGTAGATCAAGTGTTTACATTGAAGCATATATGTGAACAGTATTTAGATAAAGGTAGGGAAGTTTTTATTGCATTTATGGATTTAGAAAAGGCATATGATAGAGTGGATAGAGGAGCAATGTGGCAGATGTTGCAAGTACAGTGGACCCCCGGTTAACGATATTTTTTCACTCCAGAAGTATGTTCAGGTGCCAGTACTGACCGAATTTGTTCCCATAAGAAATATTGTGAAGTAGATTAGTCCATTTCAGACCCCCAAACATACACGTACAAACGCACTTACATAAATACACTTACATAATTGGTCACATTCGGAGGTAATCGTTATGCGGGGGTCCACTGTACGTATATGGAATAGGTGGTAAGTTACTAAATGCTGTAAAGAGTTTTTATGAGGATAGTGAGGCTCAGGTTAGGGTGTGTAGAAGAGAGGGAGAATACTTCCCAGTAAAAGTAGGTATTAGACAGGGATGTGTAATGTCACCATGGTTGTTTAATATATTTATAGATGGGGCTGTAAAAGAAGTAAATGCTAGTGTGTTCGGGAGAGGGGTGGGATTAAATTATGGGGAATCAAATTCAAAATGGGAATTGACACAGTTAATTTTTGCTTATGATACTGTGCTTATGGGAGATTCTAAAGAAAAATTGCAAAGGTTAGTGGATGAGTTTGAGAATGTGTGTAAAGGTAGAAAGTTGAAAGTGAACATAGAAAAGAGTAAGGTGATGAGGGTATCAAATGATTTAGATAAAGAAAAATTGGATATCAAATTGGGGAGGAGGAGTATGGAAGAAGTGAATGTTTTCAGATACTTGGGAGTTGACGTGTCGGCGGATGGATTTATGAAGGATGAGGTTAATCATAGAATTGATGCGGGAAAAAAGGTGAGTGGTGCGTTGAGGTATATGTGGAGTCAAAAAACGTTATCTATGGAGGCAAAGAAGGGAATGTATGAAAGTATAGTAGTACCAACACTCTTATATGGATGTGAAGCTTGGGTGGTAAATGCAGCAGCGAGGAGATGGTTGGAGGCAGTAGAGATGTCCTGTTAAGGCAATGTGTGGTGTAAATATTATGCAGAAAATTCGGAGTGTGGAAATTAGGAGAAGGTGTGGAGTTAATAAAAGCATTAGTCAGAGGGCAGAAGAGGGGTTGTTGAGGTGGTATGGTCATTTAGAGAGAATGGATCAAAGTAGAATGACATGGAAAACATATAAATCTATAGGGGAAGGAAGGAGGGGCAGGGGTCATCCTCGAAAGGGTTGGAAAGAAGGGGTAAAGGAGGTTTTGTGGGCTAGGGGCTTGGACTTCCAGCAAGCGTGCATGAGCGCATTAGATAGGAGTGAATGGAGGCGAATGATACTTGGGACCTGACGATCTGTTGGAGTGTGAGCAGGGTAATATTTAGTGAAGGGATTCAGGGAAACCGGTTATTTTCATATAGTCGGACTTGAGTCCTGGAAATGGGAAGTACAATGCCTGCACTTTAAAGGAGGGGTTTGGGATATTGGCAGTTTGGAGGGATATGTTGTGTATCTTTATACGTATATGCTTCTGAACTGTTGTATTCTGAGCACCTCTGCAAAAGCAGTGATAATGTGTGAGTGTGGTGAAAGTGTTGAATGATGATGAAAGTATTTTCTTTTTGGGGATTTTCTTTCTTTTTTGGGTCACCCTGCCTCGGTGGGAAACGGCCGACTTGTTAAAAAAAAAAAAAAAATGTCCTCGTCACCCTGCCTCGGTGGGAGACGGCCGACTTGTTGAAAAAAAAAAAATGTATTCTGGAACAGATTAATACCATAACACAAGGGGACCACTGTGTGCAAGGGGCTTGGGCATCCAACAAGTGTGTGTGAGCATGTTAGATAGGAGTGTGGAGGCAAATGTTTTTTTGGGACTTGACAAGCTGTTAGAGTGTAAGCAAGGTAACATTTTGTGAAAGAATTCAGGGAAAACTGGTTAGCTGGACTGGAGTCCTGGAGGTGGGAAATACAGTGCTTACATACTGAAGGAAGGATGGGGATGTTTTCAGTTTGGAGGGAAATCTGAACTATAGTATCAGTGTGCCTCTGGTGAAAGTGTTTCTTTTTTGAGTTAACCTGCCTCAGAGGAAGATGGCCAGTGTGTTATAAAATATATATATATATATTTTTTTTTTATTCAACAAGTCGGCCGTCTCCCACCGAGGCAGGGTGACCCAAAAAAAAGAAAGAAAATCCCCAAAAAGAAAATACTTTCATCATCATTCAACACTTTCACCACACTCACACATTATCACTGTTTTTGCAGAGGTGCTCAGAATACAACAGTTTAGAAGCATATACGTATAAAGATACACAATGTATCCCTCCAAACTGCCAATATCCCAAACCCCTCCTTTAAAGTGCAGGCATTGTACTTCCCATTTCCAGGACTCAAGTCCAACTATATGAAAATAACCAGTTTCCCTGAATCCCTTCACTAAATATTACACTGCTCACACTCCAACAGATCGTCAGGTCCCAAGTACCATTCGTTTCCATTCACTCCTATCTAACACGCTCACGCACGCTTGCTGGAAGTCCAAGCCCCTCGCCCACAAAACCTCCTTTACCCCCCTCTCTCCAACCCTTTCGAGGACGACCCCTACCCCGCCTTCCTTCCCCTATAGATTTATATGCTTTCCATGTCATTCTGCTTTGATCCATTCTCTCTAAATGACCAAACCACCTCAACAACCCCTCTTCTGCCCTCTGACTAATAGTTTTATTAACACACCTTCTCCTAATTTCCACACTCCGAATTTTCTGCATAATATTTACACCACACATTGCCCTTAGACAGGACATCTCCACAGCCTCCAACCGTCTCCTCGCTGTTGCATTCACAACCCTCTTTTCCCATCTACCTGTTACTCTAACTGTAGCTACAACTAAATAATGATCCGATATATCAGTTGCCCCTCTATAAACATGTACATCCTGGAGCCTACCCATCAACCTTTTATCCACCAATACATAATCTAACAAACTACTTTCATTGCGTGCTACATCATACCTTGTATATTTATTTATCCTCTTTTTCATAAAATATGTATTACTTATTACCAAATCTCTTTCTACACATAGCTCAATTAAAGGCTCCCCATTTACATTTACCCCTGGCACCCCAAACTTACCTACTACTCCCTCCATAACATTTTTACCCACTTTAGCATTGAATTCCCCAACCACCATTACTCTCACACTTGATTCAAAACTCCCCACGCATTCACTCAACATTTCCCAAAATCTCTCTCTCTCCTCTACACTTCTCTCTTCTCCAGGTGCATACACACTTACTATAACCCACTTTTCACATCCAATCTTTATTTTACTCCACATAATCCTTGAATTAATACATTTATAGTCCCTCTTTACCTGCCATAGCTTATCCTTCAGCATTATTGCTACTCCTTTAGCTCTAACACTATTTGAAACCCCTGACCTAATCCCATTTATTCCTTTCCACTGAAACTCTCCCACCCCCTTCAGCTTTGTTTCACTTAAAGCCAGGACATCCAGCTTCTTCTCATTCATAACATCCACAATCATCTCTTTCTTATCATTTGCACAACATCCACACACATTCAGACTTCCCACTTTGACAATTTTCTTCTTCTTATTCTTTTTAGTAATCTTTACAGGAAAAGGGGTTACTAGCCCATTGTTCCCGGCATTTTAGGTGACTTTTACAACACGCATGGCTTACGGAGGAAAGATTCTTATTCCACTTCCCCATGGATATAAAAGGAAAAGTAATAAGACCAAGAACTATTAAGATAAAATCAAAGAAAACTCAGGTGAGTGTGTATAAATAAATGTGTACATGTATGTGTAGTGTGACCTAAGTGTAAGTAGAAGTAGCAAGACATACCTGTAATCTTGCATATTTATGAGACAGACAAAAGACACCAGCAATCCTACCATCATGTAAAACAATTACAGGCTTTCGTTTTACACTCACTTGGCAGGACGGTAGTACCTCCCTGGGCGGTTGCTGTCTACCAACCTACTACCTTAAATTATATATGTTTCTAAAATATATATGTATGCTAGATTTCAGGTACGTCTTGCTACTTACACTTAGGTCACCATACACATACATGTGCAAGCCTATATATACACACCCCTCTGGGTTTTCTTTCTAGTTCTTGTCCTTGTTTATTTCCCTTTACCTCCATGGGGAAGTGGAACGGAATTCTTCCTCCGTAAACCATGCGTTTTGTAAGAGGCGACTAAAATGCCAGGAGCAAGGGACTAGTAACCCCTTCTGTATATATTACTAAATGTAAAAGGAGAAACTTTCGTTTTTCCTTTTGGGCCAACCCGCCTCGGTGGGATACAGCCGGTGTGTTGAAAGAAAGAAAATGTACATATATATTCTCCTTAAAGGTAGTAGGTTGGTAGATAGCAACCACCCAGGGAGGTACTACCGTCCTGCCAAGTGAGTGTAAAATGAAAGCCTTTAATTGTTTTACATGATGGTAGGATTGCTGGTGTCTTTTGTCTGTCTCATAAATATGCAAGATTTCAGGTACGTCTTGCTACTTACACTTAGGTCACACTACACATACATGTACAAGCATATATATACACACCCTTCTGGGTTTTCTTTCTAATTCTTCTCCTTGTTTATTTCCTCTTACCTCCATGGGGAAGTGGAACAGAATTCTTCCTCCGTAAGCCATGCGTGTTGTAAGAGGCGACTAAAATGCCGGGAGCAAGGGGCTTTTTTTTTTTTTTTTTCAACAAGTCGGCCGTCTCCCACCGAGGCAGGGTGACCCAAAAAAAAAGAAAGAAAATCCCCAAAAAGAAAATACTTTCATCATCATTCAACACTTTCACCACACTCGCACATTATCACTGTTTTTGCAGAGGTGCTCAGAATACAACAGTTTAGAAGCATACACATATAAAGATACACAACATATCCCTCCAAACTGCCAATATCCCAAACCCCTCCTTTAAAGTGCAGGCATTGTACTTCCCATTTCCAGGACTCAAGTCCGACTATATGAAAATAACCAGTTTCCCTGAATCCCTTCACTAAATATTACCCTGCTCACACTCCAACAGATCGTCAGGTCCCAAGTACCATTCGTCTCCATTCACTCCTATCTAACACGCTCATGCACGCTTGCTGGAAGTCCAAGCCCCTTGCCCACAAAACCTCCTTTACCCCCTCTCTCCAACCCTTTCGAGGACGACCCCTACCCCGCCTTCCTTCCCCTATAGATTTATATGCTTTCCATGTCATTCTACTTTGATCCATTCTCTCTAAATGACCGTACCACCTCAACAACCCCTCTTCTGCCCTCTGACTAATGCTTTTATTAACTCCACACCTTCTCCTAATTTCCACACTCCGTGTGTATAAATAAATGTGTACATGTATGTGTAGTGTGACCTAAGTGTAAGTAGAAGTAGCAAGACATACCTGTAACCTTGCATATTTATGAGACAGACAAAAGACATCAGCAATCCTACCATCATGTATAACAATCACAGGCTTTCGTTTTACACTCACTTGGCAGGACGGTAGTACCTCCCTGGGTGGTTGCTGTATATATTACTAAATGTACAAGGAGAAACTTTCGTTTCTCCTTTTGGGTCACCCCGCCTCGGTGGGATACGGCCGGTGTGTTGAAAGAAGAAGATATATTCTCCTTTAGGTAGTAGGTTGGTAGATAGCAACTGCCCAGGGGGGCACTACCATCCTGCCAAGTGAGTGTAAAACGGAAACCTGTAATTGTTTTACATGATGGTAGGATTGCTGGTGTCCTTTTTTCTGTCTCATAAACATGCAAGATTTCAGGTACGTCTTGCTACTTCTACTTACACTTAGGTCACACTACACATACATGTACAAGCATATATATACACACACCCCTCTGAGTTTTCTTCTATTTTCTTTCTAGTTCTTGTTCTTGTTTATTTCCTCTTTTCTCCATGGGGAAGTGGAACAGAATTTTTCCTCCATAAGCCATGCGTGTTGTAAGAGGCGACTAAAATGCCAGGAGCAAGGGGCTAGTAATCCCTTCTCCTGTATAAATTACTAAATTTAAAAAGAGAAACTTTCGTTTTTCTTTTTGGGCTACCCTGCGTTGGTGGGATATGGCCGGTTTGTTGAAAAAAAAAAGAAAAAAATATATTCTCCATGGGGAAGTGGAACAGAATTCTTCCTCTGTAAGCCATGCGTGTCGTAAGAGGTGACTAAAATGCTGGGAGCAAGGGATTAGTAACCCCTTATCCTGTATACATTACTAAAGTTGAAAAGATAAATTTTTGTTTTTCTTTTTGGGCCACCCTGCTTCTTTGGGATACGGCCAGTTTGTTGAAAGAATGAAGAAGTATATACAGTGGAACCTCAAAAATTGAACTACTCCCAACTCGATCAGTTGTGTAAATGAAGATTGAGACACTTATGCAGCATATGGGAATCTTTATTCAGGAAACGTTTCGCCACACAGTGGCTTCATCAGTCCAATACAAAGAGGAAGGCGTAAGGAGAGGAGGAGTATGAGGTAATCAGTCCCTCAGCCTGGAGTCGATGTGTTCAGTCCATCAATCTTGTAGAATGTGCAGCATAGGGCCGTAGACGTGGCTTATATACTGTAGTGAGGTGAGGTGAAGCAGGCGGAGGCGGGGTCATAGTGGTACCATCCACTAGTCGAAGTAGGTCTTCGTCCAAAGGTTGAACAAGTGTTGAAGAATTCTTTGTAACAAGATCCCATGATGCTGCCGTGTCTGACAGTTGTGATGAAATGGTTTGAAAAACCGACAAGTTGAAGATTGAGACACTTATGCAGCATATGGGAATCTTTATTCAGGAAACGTTTCGCCACACAGTGGCTTCATCAGTCCAATACAAAGAGGAAGGCGTAAGGAGAGGAGGAGTATGAGGTAATCAGTCCCTCAGCCTGGAGTCGATGTGTTCAGTCCATCAATCTTGTAGAATGTGCAGCATAGGGCCGTAGACGTTGTGTAAATGTATTTTTGTAAGTGCTTTTATAAGTGTATTTTTGAGGGCTTGAAATGGACTCATCTAATTTACATTATTCCTGATGGGAATAAATTCATTCGGTAGCAGCACTCGAACAGCCTTCTGGACCGAAGAAAGTTCGATATTTGAGGTTCCACTGTATATGTTTTTTTTTTTTCAACAAATCAGCCCTCTCCCACCAAGGTAGGGCGACCCTAAAAAAGAAGAAACACTTTCATCATCATTCACTCCATCACTGTCTTACTACACTTCAAAACTGCAAATATCCCCACCTTATTTTAGTTTTTTTATTTCTTATGAGCATTTAGAGAAGTTTTGTATATTATTTGTGTAGGTAATTTTTTTTTTATCATGTAGACTCTGTAAATGACACTGACATTTTTTTCTAGTATTCTGTTCAGGATGCCAGCTATGTAAGTTTTCAAGATGGTGGACGGTTAGCTAGGATAGAGCCCAGTGCTGGCGGTGTGTCCCCAGGAGGCTCCACACCTCCCACGGAGGGTGAATTACATCCACACACACGTGATCACACCCCGCATCGTCGAACTCATCATAAAAGGTCAGCCTGTTACACACTGTACTCTCAAGAAATTTAATTCATAAATTATTTCACATAGCAGATATAATTTAATGTATAATATATCTTAAATAAAGCTAACTGCAGTAATTGTATTCTGATACGCTGGCAAGGCAAAGTGGTTACTAAGATAATTTTGTTTCTCATGCTTTATCATAAATGCCATTTACCATATTCAGGGCAGGGTGACTCATGCAGAATGTTAACCAAACACTTCTTTAACTGTACAGTATATAAACATACAATGAAGAAGGCATTTAGTGTCATAAAAGCAATGCTTGAAACATTTACTGAAGAATGTAATTTCACTTTGGGCAATCAATGAAGTGAAAGTTACCAGCTGCTTGCACTATAAATTTGGGATATTTTTCATTTAAATAATATATGCTGGTTATTGATTATGTGTCTTTGGTTTATCTGGCACCAGGAGTCTCGGATTTGGCAGGTGAGATTGTCAATATGCCCTGCCCCCTGCTGGCTTTGCCGAGTCCATCTTCTCTGGCCTATAACTTGTGTCTTTATCCTGGCATTTTCATTATTTTGACAAGTTAGTTTTAGAATCAGTAAATTTTACCTATGAACAGACACTTCACAATATTCTGAAAATTTAAATGTGTTGAATTTTTTACATTAATAACATTTTAAACATGGTAATTTGTTAGTTAGCCTTGCATATATGTTGTTGATTAAATGTTTGTGAACTGTGACCCAAAGCCTGTAGAACAAGTTTATGTTAGCATTAGAAGGACTAAAAATATTCACCATATCATTAATTTGATGCACATCTATGCTTTGTTTTATCATGAAGAATGCCAGTGTCTTTCAGTAAGTTACTCTCCTCCATTTAACATCATCTGTTTAAAATGAATACTAAAGCTAGTTTATTTGCTCTCTGCTATTTAAAAATGTTTATTGAAAGTCTGGAAGAAAAGCTAGGATTTAAAGGCTACATTTGTTATAGCATATAATACTGCTTTGTTTCTATTATTTAAAAATTGTTATATAGTATATATATATTATATATATAAAGTTTAATGTTTTCTACATATAATAAATATTTATTTTTCATGTATCATACACAATATCAATGGCCCTCTTATGTGGTTATTAGATTGCATACCCATGCATTTATGTTGGTTAGTTCTTCATTTGTGCAGATCTCTCCTATAGATTTCAAAATCTCTTCTTGGTACCCCTCCATAAAGCTAAGATGTAGAGTGTAAGGGAAAGTTCTTTCAATTTTATGTTTTATTTTTGCCAATATATTGCATGTAATTGAGGCACTGCTGTTGTTCCCTATTCAAAATGCTTTTGAGAGATTGGGCCTTCACTCTTATACTTAAATTTGACATTAAGAAATAGTTATACATGTATTTATTAGGAAGATGTCAACTACAATCTCCTGACTTATAAGACTTATGTCCCAAGCTTCTTTACACCTAGCTCAGTAATTGCTTTCCTATATGTAGAGCTAGGAAGCAGTTCAGTTTTACATGATTCAACTTGTCGAAAAATTTGCATCCAATTCTTCTTGTCTTGAATACTGATATATTGCACTTGCTGACTCTTGGTTTATATGCAGAGATGTGCAATTGAGAAAGCTCTCTCCTGTTTCTGTTATATATATGTTTTTTAAATGAAGAGCTTCAGAATTATTGCATTTATTTGTGTGTATGTAACCATACATACATACATACATACATACATACAGGAGGGCCCCGCTTATACAGCAAGTTAGGTTTCACGCTACCACTGTAAAGCAAAAATCGCTGTGAAGTGAAACATAGCCTTTTTCACTTTCCATAAGTCTGATAACATGTTTACACTGTCATATATTAAGTGAGCAATAGAACTAGACCTAAAAAAATTATATATACAGCACACACATTACTTACACTAAAATATTTTTGTCTTTGGCTTATAGTGAGTGGTGAATGTACGCATTTATTGTGGGAAGTCTGATTAAATGAAGAATATTTAATTAAAACCACGCATTGTGAATGTTTGTAAAGCAGGCCCTCCTGCATTTTAAAAGGGGGTTTAGGATTTTTGGGCATTTTTGGAGGGAATGTTATATTTTTTTTATAATGCTTAAACTTTTTGATCGGGCCCCTCTGCAAAGACAGTGTTTATGATGAGGAGGTGAAAAGTTTAATTGATAAAAGTATTTTTTTTTGGGGGTTTTTCTTTTTTTGGGGGTCACCCCCCCCGGGTGGGAAAAGGGGTGACTTTTAAAAAAAAAAAAAAAAAAAATATATATATTTTATATATATATATATATGGGCAAAACCCCCTTTTCCCCTGTAAAGATTACTAAAAAAATAAGAAAAAAAAAATTTGAAAAGTGGGAAGTTTGAATGGCGGATTTTGTGCGATATAAAAAAAATGTTTGTGGAGTTAAATGAGAAAAACTGGAGTCCGGGCTTTAAGTAAAAAAAAAGCAAAGGGGGGGGGAGATTTCAATGGAGGGAATAAATGGGATTAGGTCGGGGGTTTCAAATGGGTTTAGAGCTAAAGAAGGAGTAGCAAAAATGTTAAGGGTAAGCTAGGCGGGAAAAGGGGGACAAAAATGTATTAATTCAAGGATTATTGGAGTAAAAAAAAAGATTGGATGTGAAAAGGGGGTTATAAAAAGCGTTATGCCCTGGAGAAGAAGAAGTGTAGAGGAGAGAGAGAGTTTTTTGGGAAATTTGAGTGAGGGGGGATTTTTTGACTCAATTGAGAGTAATGGTGGGGGGGATTTCAAAGCAAAGGGGTAAAAAGTTATGGAGGGATATAGGAAAATTTTGGGGTGCCGGGGGAAAAATGTAAAGGGGGACCTTTAATTGAGCTATGTGTAGAAAGAAATTTGGTAAAAAGTATACAATTTTATGAAAAAGAGGGTAAATAAAATACAAGGTTATTTAGCACGTAAAAGAAAATAGTTTTTTAGATTATGTATTGGGGGATAAAAAGGGTTTTGGGTGGCTCCGGATGTAGTTTTTAGGGGGGCAAAATGAATTATCGGGTATTATTTAGTTGTAGCTACAGTTGAGTAAAGGTAGATGGGAAAAAAAGGGAAAGGGGGCAACAACAATAAGAGGAGGGGAAAGTGATAAACTAAGGGGGGGAGGAAATTCGGGCGAGAATAACGACATTACAAAAGGTGGGATAGTGCAAAGATGAGTAATGGGGGGGGTTTAAGAGGTTGGGAAAAGTTTTTTAAAAAAGCAGTTTTGAATGGGGGCAGAAGTTTTTGGTTTTAGGAGGGTGGGTGCAGGGGAAAGAGGAGTATTGGTGGAATGGATGAAGTAAAGGGGGGTGATAAAAGAAAAAAGGGACTTATGAGAGGTTTTTCAAAGCAGAAGTGTTATAAGAAAGCGAAATAGGAATAAAAAAGGTAAAGAGAGTGGTAGAGAGTGCAAAAGGAAGCAAAATGAAGAGTGGGGGAAAGGCACTGTCAAGAAATTTTTAAAGAAAATAAGAAAAATTTTGGGGGGTTAAACAAATTAAGAAAGCCAAGGGAAAAATGGATTTGTCATTAAAAACAAGTGGGGATTTTTAATGGGGAGATGGAGGTATTGGGAATGGCGAGAATATTTTGAGGAACTTTTAAATGTTAAGGAAGAAAACAGGGCAGTAATTTCATTGCACTGGTCAGGAGGTATACCAATCTTTTAGGAAGGAGAAGAGCAGAATGTAAGTGTGGGGAGGTACGTGAGGCATTAGTAAAATGAGAAAGGGGGTTAAAGCAGCTGGTACTGATGGGGGATCATGACAGAAATGTTTAAAAGCAGCGGGGGGATATAGTGTTGGAAGTGGTTGGTCTTTTGTTCAATAAAAGTAATGAAAGAGGGAAGGTACCTAGGGATTGGCGCGAGAGCATGTTATAGGTCCCTTTATATATAGGGAAAGGGACCAAAAGAGACTGTAAAAATTATAGAGGATAAGTCTGTCTGCTATGTGAGTGTATACCAGGAAAAGTGTACGGTAGGCCGTGATAATTGAAAGAAATAGAGGTTAAAGACAGAATGTAGGAGTTGCGGATGGAAGGAGGTTTCAGAGGTGGGGTGGGGATGTTGGAGATCAAGTGTTTACTTTGAAGCATATATGTGAACAGTATTAGATAAAGGTAGGGAAGTTTTTATTGCATTTATGGATTTAGAAAAGGGCATTGATAGAGTGGTAGAGGAGCAATGTGGAGATGTTGCAAGTATATGGAATAGGTGGTAAGTTATAAATGCTGTAAAGAGTTTTATGAAGATAGTGAGGCTCAGGGTAGGGTGTGTTGGTAGAGAGAGGGAGACTATTCCGGTAAAAGTAGGTCATTAGACAGGGATGTGTAATGTCACATGGTTGTTTAATTTATTTATAGGATGGGTTGTTAGGAAGAAAATGCTAGGGTGTTTGGGAGAGGGGTGGGATTGAATTATGGGGAATCAAATTCAAAATGGAATTGACACAGTTACTTTTTGTGATGATACTGTGCTAGTGGGAGATCTAAGAAAGATTGCAAAGGTTAGTGGATGAGTTTTGGGAATGTGGTAAAGGTAGAAAGTTGAAAAGTGACTAGAAGAAAAGATCTAAGGTGATGAGGGTGTCAATGATTTAGATAACAGAAAAATTGGATATCAAATTGCGGGAGGAGGAGTATGGAAGAAGTGAATGTTTTCAGATACTTGGGAGTTGACGTTGTCGGCGGAGGGATTTATGAGGATGAGGTTAATCATAGAATTGATGGAGGGAAAAAAGGTAAGTTGTGCGTGCGTTGAGGTATATGTGGAGTCGAAAAAAAAACGTTATCTATGGAGGCAAAGAAGGGAATGTTGAAAAGTATAGTCTGTACAACCACTCGTATATGGTGTGAAGCTTGGGTGGTTAAATGCGCAAGCGAGGAGACGGTTGGAGCCAGTGGAGATGTCCTGTTTAAGGGCAATGTGTGGTGTAAATATTATGCTAGCAAATTCGGGAGTGTGGAAATTAGGAGAAGGTGTGGGTAGTTAATAAAAAGTATTAGTCAGAGGGCGAAGAGGGGGTTGTTGAGGTGTTTGGTGATTTAGAGAGAATGGATCAAGTTAGAATGACATGGAAAGCATATAAAATCTATAGTGAAGGAAGGCGGGGTAGGGTCGTCCTCGAAAGGGTTGGAGAGTTGTGAGAGAGGGAGGTAAAGGAGGTTTTGTGGGTAAGGGGCTTGGACTTCCAAGCAAGCGTGCGTGGCGTGTTTAGATAGGAGGTGAATTGGAGACGAATGGGTACTTGGGACTGACGATCTGTTGGAGTGTGAAGCAGGGTAATATTTAGTGAAGGGATTCAGGGAAACCGGTTATTTTACTATAGTGGACTTGGAGTCCTGGAAATGGGAAGTACAATGCCTGCACTTTAAAGGAAGGGGTTTGGGATATTGGCAGTTTGGAGGAATATGTTGTGTATCTTTTATGTGTATGCTTCTAGACTGTAGTATTC